AACAATCTTCCTAAATAAATACAAGACTGATAACTTGGCCAATAGATTCTGTTTAAGGAAGGAGAAAATTAACTATACACAAATTCTTCTCTATAACAGTAAGAGAAGAAGTTCTTTTCACCTTATTTTATCATATCAGTCTAACCTTGATTCCAAAACCTGGTAAGGACATTTTTAGAAAGAAAAATTATAGACCAATCTATCTAAAAACCATAATAATTCCCCATTTTTAGCAACAAAATTACTGGTGTAATTATAATACTGTAACCAAACTGAAAATAAAACAAATTTTCCTGAAGGTGACACATGAACTCTACATGGAAACACACACACACACTTCAGTAAACAGTATTGTTAATGACAAAATACTGACAGCTTCCCTCATAAAATTGGAAAAAAGACAATGATGCTCAAAACCATTTCTATTAAATATTCTACAGAAGGTCCTACAAGTCCTATGAGTTCAAGTTCAAGTACAAGTTCAAAATGGCAAATAAGCATATGAAAAAATTGTTAATTTGTTATCAGGGAATTTCTATTTAAAACAACGAGATAACACCACACTTTTATTAGAATGATTAAAAAAAAATCAAAGTACCAAAAGCTGACAAGGTTGCACAGCAACAGGAACTCTTATCCACTACAGGTGAGAATGGAAAATGGTGCAGCCATTTGGAAGACAGCTTTCAGGTTCTTACAAAGCTCACCGTAGACTTACCTTGTCATATGACAGTCGTGTTCCCAGCTATTTATCCAACTGATTTGAAAACTTATGCCCCCACAAAAACCTACACGTAAACGTTCGTAGAAGTTTCACTCATAATAACTAACAACTTGAAGCCACCAGTGCCCTTCAACAGGCAAAGAATAAACAAAACAGTGGTAAATACAAGCAATGTGGTATTAGTCAGCATTTAAAAAAAAAGAAATGAGACATCAAGCCACAAAAAGACATGGATGAAACTTAAATGCATATCACTAAGTGAAGCAAGTGAGAATGAAGACTATATTCTGTATGGTTCCAACAATACACCATTCTGAAATAGGTAACACTCTGGAGAGAGTAAAACCACCAGTACTTGCCTGAGAATTAGAAGGAGTGGGTCATGAGTGAACAGTAAAGCATGGAAGATTTTAGGGTGGTGAAAATATTCTATGTAATACTATATGCTAGATACATGGCATTATTTGTCATACGTTTTGTAAAAACCCGTAGAACTTTATGACATAGAGTTAATGTTGATTTTTCGTTTAAATTTAGGAGATTGGGTTATCTCAAGAAAGAATGCTGACTGATAAAAGAATCTAAATGTATTACAAATGCATGGAAAAAACCTCAGTGAAGGGGATACAAATGAGCAATTCTAGTACTACTATAACAGGTTGGACAATTAAGTCAATGGATGGTAAAAGAGGGGAGTCGAGTTTCTCACTGTTGGAGTTGGGATTTATAGATTGACAAAGGGGTAAGGGTTAGAATGATCCATGCTGTAATGGATTAGAGTTGGAAACATCAGTGAGAACTCATGTTTAGTTCTGTTTAACCACTGGTGCTGAGCCAATTTGACAGTCATATGAAAACAAAGCCAAAACCAAATGATTGAAAAAAAAAAAAAAACCTGACTCCTTGCTGACACCATGCAAACATTCATTCCCAAATGGACTGTTAACTGTGAAAGTAAAACAATAACGCTCCCAGGAGACAATGTAGAGAGTAATTTAGTGACCTTTGGATGTGGAAATATTTCTTCAGTAGGATATAAAAGT